AAATTAAGTAAAATTAGGTACATTGAAATTCGACATTTGAAATTTTCAACTTATATGGATTTATCCTAATTTCATGCATAATTTCTATGGCCCCATCTTTCTAATAGTTGGTTTCTTTAGGATGTTCATTCCAAAAAAAGGTAAAATAATACATCTTGGGCATTAGTTCATAATTTCATTAAATTAAGTAAAATTAGGTACATTGAAAATTTGACATTTACCAAAATTCTATGAGATTTTCAACTTATATGGATTTATCCTAATTTCTATGGCCCCATCTTTCTAATAGTTGGTTTCTTTAGGATTATTAGAGCAAATAGGGCTTGGACTGATTATTACATTGCTTTGTCTTAATTTGATGCATCTCCAATTAACATTTGTGGTAGACTTCTAATTTGTATCATTAACAACAAATTCCTTGCCAATATTTTCATGCATTTTCTTCATATGAGCTTCATGCATAATGCCAGTGTTAAGGGTATGCTAAAATGCTTATATGTTTTGTAATGAATGTAATTAATTTTAAGTAAATGAAATAATGTAGGAAACTAAAATTTATGTTTATTAGATTACTTAAAATATCTTGTTTTCTAATTGACCAACCACAAAAATACATCTATTATATGGATGAGCAACTTATTTATAGAAAAATAAAACAAATGATTTAATTATTAGTTGTGATGAACTATTTTGTCTTTTAAATTATATTGATGAAATTTTTATTTTCAGTTTTTCTCGAAGATGAACATTATTAATGAATCATTTATATGTTGACAATTTATTTTCTTCATAAGATTTTGTTATAAAATTTTAAATAAAAAATTAAGAAAAAAAATGAAGTTGTTTTTGCTTATAATAGAATTTTATATTAATCCAAATGAAGAGAAAGCAGAGAATGATTCTCTAAAATAGAATAATCAAAGAAAAAGTTCCATAACTTGTCTAAAGCACAACACTTACATTTAGAAAGAAATAAAATAACCCTAATTCTACTATAAACTTAACAATTTGAGATCTCAAGTGTCACGGCTCGAGCCGGAGCTTGAAATTAACCAAGATGAGAACGGATGCTCGAACGGTAAAAATCAATTCTATGATATTCTTGTTCTATCACTGACAGTTTAATATTCAAATAATCATGAAAGAGTCACTACAAAAAACAATTAAATTAACAAGTAGAAATTTGTATCTTTCCAGTTGCCTTGGTCTCCTATACACATTTGCTTTTCTTCTATTTATTTTGTTCAAAAGTTGAAAACTTCAAAAAAATTTTAAATAATATAATGAGTTATCTAAAGATAATTCAAGAGTAATTACACTTTTAAACTACAATAACTCAAGGAAAAAAAATCAGAATGCAAGATGGTCTTTTTATCTTTATAAGAAATATTATATTTTGTTAGTCTTTCATATCTTTATAAGAAATATTATATTATGCTAGTCTTTCATATTTTTATAAGAAGTCCTATATGCTGATGCATATATCAATAATTTTTTCTAAATGAAATACACAAATCTTCTATTTGTATTTATTTTAACTTTACTTTTACTTTATATTCTTTGCATATACGTCTCTTTGATAATCACCATCAATAAAGCCAAACACACTCCTTGAGTATTTTATTGCGTTAGAATATTAGTTAATGATCTAAATATCATAATTGTCTAGAGAGAAAAGTCCCTTACCTGCCCCTGACAGATATTCTTTCATCAGCACAGCTGTTAGCGATCTAACCATCATATTTGTCTGCAGAGATAAGCTATGTTTACTCGCCTCTGACTGATATTCTCTCGTTGGCATAGCGATTAGTAATCTAAACATCACAATTGTTTGATGAAGTAGAACAATTACGCGTGTTGGTATGTTGGTGTCTTCTGCCTATACCATTAAAGGGTGTACTCCTCTTAACTTGCATGTGCAAGCAACAACAACAACAACAACAACAAAGCCTTAATCCCACTACGCGGCTACCTGAAACCTTTTTCTCCGTTGCGTCCTATTTAGTGTCATATTTTCATTTAGTTCTAATAAATTAAGGTCATTTTTTTATACAATAAGCCCAAGTCTTCCTGGGTCTACCTGTGTCATTCTTAACATAAGTCAAATCTAAAACATCTACTCTTCTAATCTGATCATCAGATGGTCGACGCTTAATGTGACCAAACCACCTAAGACACCTTTCTCTAATTTTTTCCGACATAGGAGCTACACCAACCCTATCACAGATATATTCATTTCGCATTTTGTCTCTAAGTGTAAAGCCACTCATCCACCTAATCATTCTCATCTCGGCAACACTTAACTTAGTATTATGCTTCTCTTTTAAAGGCCAACATTCAGTTCCATAGAGCATTGCAGGTCTCACCACCGTCTTATAAAATTTTCCTTTAGTCTAAGTGGTACTTTCTATCACACAAAAAGCCTGAAGCATTCCTCCACTTCAACCAACCAACTTGAATTCTACTATTAACATCCCCATATATATCACCATCGCTTTGAACAACAATCCTGAGATATCTAAATCGATCATACCTTTTAATAATTTGATGACCCAAAGTTACATTTCTGTCACTAGAGCTACCACTACTAAAATTACATTCCATGTATTCAGTTTTGGTTCTACTCAAATGAAGGCCTTTAGACAAATAATATATAAAATACGTTCTTCTGAGATAACTTCATACATCTACTAACATGCATATTTACTCTGTCGTGTAACTATTAATCATACATATATCTCATATCATGCATATTTTTTATATCATTCATATTTTTTATCTCATGCATATTTTTTTGATAATGTCTATCATACATATCATGTATCTCATGCCAACTTAAATGCATATTCTGCATATTTTTTATATCTAATAATATGAAGAATCTATTGTAATATAAATTTAACTGAACTAAAACATATATATAATCAACAGACATTTCGAAATAAAGAAGATTCTGAAATATAAAAACATAATTATTCTCCTCAGTTTCCATGTTTGATTCTTAATCTTTAGTAACTAAGTGTTGCGATAACCTTTGTGTTGATTTTAATAACTTAGAGAACATAATATCAACTTTAAAATTCAAATAAGTTTCTGTTAATCGAATTATTCTTTTTAAGTTAGCACAAAATTATTTTTTCTGAAATTGACGAAATAACTCTACGATGAATTTTCACTTGCCTCGAGCTTAAGCAAACCTGAAATTTGTAGTTATCTTAGGATTTCATAATATCTTGGCTTATAACGTAACTTGAAATTTGTAGGTATCTTAGGATTTCATAATATCTTGGCTTATAACGTGATTTAAATCCAAAACATAACTGATTTGCCAAAATACCTTAAACGGGCATGACACATAACCCAACTTTCACCAAAACTGCTTATTCCTCCTCTCTTTTTATCACTTCACTACTTTCCGATTTTTGTTGATTTCTTACCTAAGACCCTTACAAAAGTTCACAAACCAAATTCATCGCATTCGATCGTCTCTGCTACGACGACAAGAAATGAAAAATATGCACAATTGGTGGCAAGTCTTCAAATGATAGTGTGAGAAAGGAAAGGAATGTCTCAATTAGCGTGAAAGAAAGTTTTACACTCACCGATTTTAACCTCGAAGTTTGAACAGAGAGTCGCAACTCTCGGCTGGTCGTTTTCCTGCTGCAGATTGCGATTATGCTACAGTGCAAAATCATGCAGCTTCCGGGAGGAGAAGGAATCAGGAGAGACCTCGCGTGCAGACAAAATTGAGAGAGGTGGGAGAGGAATCAAAGGTTGTAGAGAGGTTCCTCCCATTTGAAACTATGCAAAGGTAAATATTGCGGGGTAAGTTGGTTGGGAGTACTAATGCCAAGATTAAGGAGGGGTAATTAATGATTAATTAGGTTCAATTAAACTTATAAATTTCAATTTTTATATTTTCTGATATGATCTTAATTTATGTATAGTGTTTTATATCGAATTGATCGATTTAACGTGTTGAATTTTATAAAATTGCTTCGGTTGAAATATGAGGGATGCAAATTTGGGGTATGTTTCAAGTCGTCAAAATTTTTACCTGATTTCACAAAATTGGTTATTCCATTAAAGGCTGACAAGTTCAAATTGGGAGTAAGAGATCTAAACCAGCCAAGACTGGTCTCAGTCCCACTTTGCTTAGTAGGTCCTCGTTATTCTGTCTATTGAGCTCTAATTGGTAATTCAATCTTTAGAGTATAGTGTTGATTTTAAAGCATTCTTGTATGAATTTTTTTATTTATATAATTTTTATCTTCGATTTTTTTCTTTTTTTTTTATCTGAGCTTTTGAGTAGTTGAAATTTATTATTATTGAATATATCAGTATATTTGTTGAAAAAATATCACCTAAAGTGGTTCAAATTTGATGAATTAATGTAATATGCAACTCATGAATGTTCTAGTTAGTAAAAGATTGCGTACGCTTTATGCATTGAAGCAAAACGGAACTTTTGCAAATTGCCTTGAACTTAACATTTTGAAACCATTATTTCCTGATACAAATGAAACTTTCATGATATGGTGCATCCATATAAACTACTGAAATTAAAGAATCCTGCACCAAAACGAAAAAATCAAATTAAAATTGGAAATTTAGGTTATTCATCATAATATATATTTTACATTTTTTTTGACTGAAAACTTTTTGATTCATGTCAACTTCATAACATCTCTTCGATCCTATCAATATTGTTATACTAATGTTTAGAAGAATGAATTATTCACAAGTATTTTATATTTAGCCAAAGCATCATTTTTGTTCGCTTTTGTTAAAATTTCCGTTTCAATTTGAAATTTGTCTGTACTATGTAGCATTATTGTTGGGGTTCATCTAGTTGGATTGGTTTTCCTATTTCTTATTTTTCTCAAAGTTAACCATGAATTTTAGCTTTAAACTTGAGCAGTTTTGTTATTTCATATTAGTGATGCTCGTCTTTTAATTCACCCGCTCATCATGATTGGACGAATTTTTGTCTACCTCAGGTCGAAGGAAGCATCAATTATAAATATGACTGCTGGAGCAAATGATGATGTAAGTTTTTCTTTTTTTTTTCTTGCAAATTTGGAATCATATTTTAGGAGCAATATTTTTTGCTGCGGTCAATCATTTGAGTGAACTAAGATGCCGTTTCTTTTCTTCAGTCTAACCATCGTGGTGAAGCTGATGAGAGACAGCCACTTCTGCCAATTTGATTTTATGTTGTAAGCACATGTCTAATTCTCAACGTCTCAGATTACTTTAGGCTATTTGCTTTCTTTTTATAGTACACTTTGCGTTGTCTCTAAAAATCTATTACATTGTCTCTGACCATTTTAAACACAATTCATTTTTAGAATAAGCTTTTAGAAGTTTTGAGATTTTCATTTTGCCAACTTCATTTTTTTTCCCAGTTCCGCTTAAATCTTTACTCCATTAGAGCTAAACTGAATGAAAAGAAAGGTTTTCCTTAATGGGAGCCACATATACTATACCCTAATAATGGACTTTTTCTTTTCTTTTTTTTTGTATGAATAATACCACGTATGTACTTGTGAACATCATGGTTGCAACTTGTTTAATTTTCTCAATGATTGGAGTGTTATCATATGCTTCGTTGGATTTATGGTTTGCATTTTTCACTTCCAAATTACTTGGAACCACGACTTATCAATCAGGTTCCAATAAACCTCTGTTGTTACTTTACTACTGACATTATTTCAGAAATTTCTTTGAAACATCTACTCCACTCAGATTGTCTAATTATTTTGTTTCCTTGAAAGCTTTAGAACCATTATTTATTTATTTATCGTCATGATGTATTCAATCCATGTATTGAAACTTATTTCTTTTTGTAGGGTCAATGGAAGGTGAAAAAATATTCATTACTATACATGCTGTTAGTACATGACAGTGCTGACTACAGTAACGGTTAGCTGCATAGAAACAGAGAAAATTATATGTATTGGAATTTGAGCTGACCATTTCAGCCTCATTGTAACTTAATACTGCTGCTCTCTGTTTAACAAGTGGCATGAACATGAGAGCTTTGTCTTTTTGGACTAGAGGGAGCTCTTGAAATACGGCGGGCGATAGCTCATTTTAGAAAAAATCCTATTAGCCACACAGGACTTGTTTTAGTTTTTCAAATTATTATTTTTTTAATTTCTTCTCTTTGTTTACATCTCTTTTTTTGTTTTTAATTTCTATGCTGCCTGCTCGCTGCTGTATGCATTCGAGCATGATGGATGGTAGCGTTCTTTCTGTCTAAATTGTAACATCATGCTTGTATATTGTGGATGGATAACAATAAGTTCCGTAATGTTTTATCATACAAGCGAGTAAACATTTACTGACTGAGGCATTTTGCAGTAAAATGAGATTATTTTATTTGAATTTCTTGCTTTATGTCGGAGCTTGGTGGAGTCTTTTTCGCTTCATGCCAGACATCAGCTTTTTTGTAGCTTTGTAGGTGGCCGAAAGTTTCAAGAACAGGGCTGATATCTGTGCGAAAATGCTCTTCTAAACTTGTCTACCTTGTATTGATAAGAGTCGCATACGCTGGTGATCAAATTTTTAACAATAATCGGTTATTTTGTATCGACAGAAATACTTTTATATTGATAAAAATAAGCAATTGTTGGGCTTTTTAGAGAGAATTTACTTTATCATAAGAGCTTTGTGACAAGTATTATTGCTTGTTGAAATATGTGGGGTGTCTTAATATTATAGAAATTTTGAGCGGCTCGAGAATTCTGTAGAAAATCTTGGTGGTGGAAATATAAGTTGATTCAATGAACAGGATTTTATTAATATGTACTTTTTAAGGCCATCGACGTAATCAGATTTAAACTTTTGATCTGTAGAAAATCTTGGTGGTGGAAGATTCAATGAACAGGATTTTATTAATATGTACTACTTAAGGCCATCGACGTAATCAGATTTAAACTTTTGAAGATAACTTTAGTTGTAGAAGTATAAGGAACTTAAGGGCATTAGAGCTATCCAAAAGATGATTGATGTACTGGCAAGAGAAGGCAACCTTTTTGTTGATAGCTGGCAATATTATAAAATAAATACATATATACACATTAAAAATACATTAGCATGAATCTCAAGGAAATCTATCAAGATGAAAGGCAGTAAGAAATTGTCCGACGAGTTCAACCTACAAAGCAAAGAGCAATGTATTGTGATGGTTAGAATATGGAAATACCAAGCGTTGTTTTCTTCAGTTGAACATCTTCCGGTTGACCAGAGGCCGCTAACTGATCTAACGATAAGGTCGACGAGTCATCAAATGCCATTATTAAATTGTTTATGAATTTGAAAAGGTATTTGTCACAATTCGACCTGGGGTTTAGAATTAATCAAGATAGGAACAAATATTCATACGGTGAAAATAAATTCTTTGCTATTGTAGATCTATTATTAACAATTTAATATTCAAACAATATGTGAAAGAGCCACTAAAAAAAAATTAAAATTAACAAGTAGAAATGTGTAACTTTCTGGATGGTGTTCCCACCTCCTATACACATTTACTCTTCTATTCATCTTGTTTAAATGTTTAAAATCTAAAAAAAAATTTAAAGAAACATAATGAGTTATCTAAAGATAACATACACTCCTAAATTACACTAACCCCCAAAAAAGAAATGAATATGCATATTGGCCTGTCATTTCTTTTTAAAAAATTATAATATGATAGTCATTTATATTTCTATAATAAATCTGATATGTTAATGCATGTATCAATGATATTTTTCTAAATAAAAATACTCGAATTTTCAATATGCATTTATTTTACCTTTACTGTATACTATTTACAAACACATTTGTCTATGTGAGGATCACTTTTAACAAAACCTAGTGCACCCTTGACAGATAGTGTCTCGTCGACTCCCATCGGCATAGCAGTTAACGATGTTTACATCATAATTGTGCAGGGTGGAAATACCTTTACCTGCGTCCTAGCCAACGTTATCTCGTCATCAAAGCAGTTAGCAATTTAAACATCACAGTTGTCTGGTGGAGGTAAGCTCTGGTCTACTTGACCCTAACCGATATTATTTTATCAGCACAACAGTTGGTGATCTAATAATTCCAATTGTCTGCGGTAATGGGAAAAATCTACAGGCGCGGGTATACTGACGTCCCCTGCCTGTATCATTAGGTAGAGAAATTCTTCTCTGAGCATGCGCATACAAGCATTTACATATAAGCTATTTCATTTTTCATAACATACATTATTCCGAGACGGCTTATGCATCTACTAATATGCATATTTATTCTTCTGTGCAACTATCAATCAGACATAACTCTCATATTATGCATATCTCTTATCTCATACATATCTTTTATATCATGCATATTTTTTTTTATCATGCTTGTCATGCATATATGTTTTCTATTATGCCTATCATGTCTCTCTTGCATATCATGTCTATTATACATATCAAGCATCTCATGCAAATCTTTCATGTATATCTTTTATATCTTTTTTTCGCCATGCATATCTTTCTAATCTAATAATATGAAGAATCTATTGTAATATAAGTATAACTGAACTATAACATATATAAAGTTGCACAGAATAATGTAATTACTCTCCTTGGTTACCATGCTAAATTCTTAATTTTAGGTAACTAGTTGGATTGTGGTGACTTTTATGTTGACCTTAATAACTTAAATTTTACTAAGTCGTTCTAAGAATAGCTTTTAAACATTTTTCTTGCACTTGTTGCCTCATGCAAGGAACCTGAAACCATAAACATCATAGGAATTTATGATATATTTGTTCATAAGGTGATTTAGCTCAAAAAATTATTGACTTGCTAAACCTACCTTAAACGACTTCTCGACAACCCAACACTTCTCTGAGTTACTAAACCTTCTTCTTTTCTTCCTAACACCTCAAATCTTCTTTCTCTTTCATTGATGTTGTGCTAATATTCTCACGGAAGCTTTTAATAAAAGTTGACACTGTCGATGGCTACCATAAACAAGAGAGATGCACAATCTATCGCATATGTCAAAATGGAAGCAAGAGGAAAGAAATGAATTTCTCAAATAGCGTAAAATAGGGATTATCACTTACTAATTTCATGCTGAAAATCTGAATCGTGTTCTATGACTTCCCTGATTGCCGCTCAACCCGCTAGCTACAGTGTAGGGTTATGATTCTCTCATGGGAATTCACAAGATACTCGTGAGATCGAATAGGGAGGGGAACCTGAAGGGGGAGAGGAACACAAAACTTAAATGAGAGGAAGATTTAAAGTATTTGAAGCTTGGAATGGAGAAAAATTTGTGTACGTAAGACGTACGCAGTGTTGTGTACGTCAAGGAGGTTATTCAGAGGGTATTGGGGGGTTATTTTAGTTGATTTCTCAAAATAGGTTATTATAATCTCCCCTCATAAAATTTCTTCCTCAAAATTCATGAACTCCACATCAAATTTATATTTTATAATGATGAAAAATGAAGTGATTACAAAAGTTTATTTCTTGTTAAATGGTAACTAAAATATCTACGATACACAATACATCTGATAAATCTAACATAACACCCAAAAGACAATTTATTCATCAAACTATGCATCAATATCAGTGGTAACATGCTCTTTAGATTTTTTATGAGTTAAAGAATAAAAATTTGGATGATTTTTTTTGCCTTGGTTGTTGATCCCGATTTTATATGACAGTAAGATGTATGCAATTATAATCTTAATTTTCCTTACTTTTATTTCTTACTTTGCAATGGCTGCAAAAAACTTGACTTCGAAGCAAATAAAAATATAATTATTATATTTAAATATGAAATACTACGCAAGTATATGTATCGTTATCAAGCAATATAAGACTTTTTTATTAAGCCTCGAATATCGAACACACAGGAAAAAAATACAATATGCAACTAAAATGAGAAGAAATTAGATAACAAATTCTACTTTGCAAAATTTTCTTACTCAAACTATAGATGTTATAATAGGAATAAAAGTTCGATTCTTTTTTTAATTTTTTATAATTGAAAGTAAACTAAACAACTAACTAAACTTAACTAGATATTTGTACGATGAAGCTAATATAAATAAAATATCTTTTTCCTTATCATGAATTAGTAACAAGTATTAGAATTATGTTGTTGAATTATTCAAATTGTGTTGTGCCAAATAGGAGCAATAATATTCTTTACCCTTACTAGAGATGCTATAAAGAACATTGTCTAATTTAAAGTTTGAATAGTCTTGAAAATGAGTTAGGTATGGAAGATACTAGCTCTCACTTTAGAGTTCACTCTTCTCCCTCCACCTGGGGACTAACATTTCGTATCAAAACCTAAAACTATAAACCAAATTGGGGTTTTAGCCTGTCACTCTAAAGTCCTCTAATTTTATACCCTTCAAAATTTATTTCCTATTTATTTGCACTCAATCATATTAATTACATTTTCATCCATACAATCTCATGTGATTCTTGCCATTAGTTGATTGAGACAATACCATCTTGGATCTTACATGTTCTCACAACAAATATTAACATCTTAATTAGTCAAATCAAGAAGTAAATGAAGTACAAAGTTTAAAATCATCACAATTTATTCCAACATTAAGGATTAATACTTCACAAAACTTCCATACAATACTTAATCACTTATCATTTTAAAGAAAAACATAAAGCTAACTACTCAGAATTCATGGAGAAAATTCAACCACACTGATGGCATCCGGAACTCGTCATTCGTGGTCGCTGCCAATTCTCATCCGTGCCCTCATGTTGTCATGTCTATTGTGGATAAGGACATTGGAGTCGCCACTTTGTTTATCTATCTTATTGCCCTATTTTTCCAATTTACCTTAATCTTTTGGATCAAGTACAAGATCCTCAAGTATTAAAGGAATTAGGAAAAAAGGAAAGGGCAAATGATAGAAAATAAGAGAAATGTTGGGTGGTAAACTTATAGAGAAGACTCTAGAATGTCAAAATCTCATATAAGGATAACCACATAAATGGTCTGATAACCAGAGATTTAGGTTGATCACCTATTCTGAATTCTTAATTTTTCTATAGGAGCAAGCTCCTATAGTTAATTACATCTTAGGAAATTCTAGATTTACCTAAGAAAACTCCTGATTCTCGTTAACACTCATTCTTCTAAAATGTCAAGATTAAGGAAAGAAACATCAAATGTTTTTATTCCTGGGCTGTAAAGTATTTAGATTTACTTAGTCCGAAAGGTGTTTATACCAGGACCGGAAGAGTCTTGTCAGCAACCATGATTGCGTCGTCCAAGAAATCTTCGTAAATCTGAACACAGATGTTTAAGGTGTGTTTTAATGTCTTTTAAGATGAATTTTATGTCATTTATGTCGATGAGTTAGATTTGTATGATGTCATTTTTTTTAGGTCGTATGTTAAT